GCTTACAAGATCATAGAACGATGTGGGTTGGAACAGACCTTAAGATCATCCAGCTATAATCCTCTTCCAGAGGCTGCGATGCCTCACACTAGACCATGTCACCCAAGGCTGTGTCCACCCTGGCCTTGAACACTGCCAGGGATGGAGCATTTACCACTATTTTGGGCACACTGTGCCAGTGCCTCACCACCCTCACGGTAAAGAACTTCTTCCTTATATCTAACCTGAATGTCCCTTGTTTAAGTTTGAACTTATTACCCCTTGTCCTATCATACAGTCCCTGATGAAGAGTCCCTCTCCAGCATCCTTGTAGGCTCCCTTCAGACACTGGAAGCTGCTCTTAGGTCTTTGTGCAGCTTTTCTTCTCCAGGCTGAACAGCCCCAACCTTCTCAGCCCGCCTTCATATGGGAGGTGCTCCAGTGCCCTGACTATCCTTGTGGCCTCCTCTGGACTTGCTCCAACGGCTCCGTGTCCTTCTTCACCAGATCTGGACTTAACCACTTTTTGTTGCATAACTTTTCAAGAACAGTATTACTGCTGTACCCAAGTGCATTACAAATGCTATCAATGTTAGTCTCATCCCTTCTATACCTTAGTACCTTGTTCCCCTTTTTGCTTTCATTGAGCAGAGACCTTCACTGAACCATCCATAACAATTCTGTTCCATTTCAGAGCTGCTGCACTTAACTGAGAATCCTCTTAAATCTTAAGGACCCTGAAAATTGTAGAAAATAGACTGTACGGACTGGACGGGATGGTCAGAAGTATCAGTTTCCTTGGTAACCACTGGATAATTTTGACAGCGTAGCTCCTTACTTCAGCTTTAATTGTAACCGGAACAGTTGAAAAAAAGAAAGCACAATTGGAGAAGGGTAGTCATATAGAAGGAAAAATTACTTCAGAAAATGCACAAAAGCACAAACAAATCATTATGTCTGTAGACCTTTTATTGCTAAAACTGAGAGAAGGAAGGGGCGCTCCGTGTGTCAGTCACCTTGCATAGAACCTGAACAGTGCAGCAGCAGAACAGTGGAAGCCAATAATAGAGAGCATACAAAAAAAGAGTCATTCTCAGTGGAAAGGTGATTTTCTCCTAAGAACAACTTCTACACTTAGTGTGAAGCTGGAGTCCACAGCAGAAAACGATACCTGACAGCAACCACAACTTGGCTGCTTAGAAAACTGCTAACTAGGCACACAGAGTATTTGACTCTCTGAAACGTGCAACTTTCCATGGCAATTTAAATCTGTGGGAAACCATGTCTACTGAAATCCACAGAAATGCTTACTCACTATAACAGTGTTCTGTGTCCAAATGAGACGCCTTTCCTGAGGCAGGATGGCATTACAAATACAGTACTTTTAGGTGCCCACTTTCAAGTTGACTTTTCCCTGCATTTGCAGTAACACCAACACTGCAGACCTCTACCATTAAAAAAACACCCTAGTGTGTGAATATTGAAGTCCATTTTTAGGTTCATGTAGTCAGTCACAACTGGGTACTGATGGACATCCTTTTGTTGACCATTCTTCCCTCGCAGCGGCTGTATCTTTAGGTAGACATCAGTAACAAATTGCAGAGTAGTGAAGGTTTTTCCACATCTCACATAATGAACTGGGAAAGATCTGGGTCTGTGGAGAATCCCAGAGGCTTTGTGAGATTCCTAGTACTCCGAGTAAATGTATTGTTAATGTGAAGGACAAGAAAGGCACATGGGAAGGGGTGACTTTCCTTCAAATCCCTCCCTCTCCCTTCTGATCCAGAACAACTTGTGAAGCCCGACATGCTTGGCAAGGCTGCTGGGCCATTTGGTGAGCCCCAATTACACAGAAAAGCCTCACTTGCACCTGAGGCTGGCTGTGTTCCCACCAGCACCTCTGAGGACCTGCTCCATCCTCAGCTCATACCCCCTTGTGGGGGAAAAAGCAAGCCAAAAGAAAAAAAAAAGTGTGTGTGTGTGTGTGTGTGTGTGTGTGTGTGAAAATCTCACCAACCAGGAGGGGAAAAAAGGGTATGGAAAAAAGGGGGGGGGGGTGAGTCAATCAAATGCATTGATAAAAATCATGGATAAAATCAAGCAAAATATAAATAAAGTAATAATAGTTTAAAACTAGAAAAAAAGGAATAAAGAAAAATCAAACCCCAAAATCTCCTTGGTGGAAAAAAACAGAAACCCAAGAAAGACCACAGCACCCCCCAAAAGAACAAAGCCAAGCAAAAAGCATTAACCTGGGGGAAACCCAGCAAAAAAAAAAAAGTGGGGTGGGAGGAACCCCAAGAATAAAAAAACAACCAGAATACCAAAACCCCCCATCCTGTGGGGGAGGAAAAGGGGGGGGGGGATGTGGAAGGGAGGAGAAAAAGGTGGAGGGGAAAAAAATGGAAAAAAAACACCCCACCAACTGGGCGGAGAGAAAAAAAGTGGAGGTGGGGGAAAAGTTGGGGGGGGGGAGGGGTAAAAACTGTGGGGTTAAAAATTGTGGACCAAAAAAAATGTGGAAAAAAAAATCCATGAAAAAAGAGGAATCAGGAAAAAAAGTAAAAAATAAACCAAACCCAACCAAACAAAAACTGCACCCAAAGCCCCACACCAACCTGGGGAGAAAAAACCAGACAAAATAAAAGAAAAAAGAGGGGAGGCAAATAAAATCCCATTCAAAACCATCAATAAAAACAACCTCCGCAAAAACAAACCCCTGGGAACGAGGGGGGGGGAAGGTAAGGAAAAAAAAAGGGAGTGTCAAAAAACCCCCACCCCCATGGGGAAAAACTGGCCAACCAATGGCGGAAAAAAGGGGGAAAAAGGGGACACACACACAGGGGAGAAAAGTGGAGGGGGGGAACTGTGGGGAAAACCCCCACCAACCAGAAGGGAAAATGTGGGTGGGGAAACAAGGGGGGAGGGAATTGTGCATGTGGGAAACCTTGGGATAGAAACCTACCAGCCTGGGGGCAAACAGTGGGAGAGAGAAAGGGGGAGGGAGGAAAATGCCGGGGGGGGGGGGAAGTGGGGGGGAAAAGGCGTGGAACAAAAACACTATGGAAAAAACTCCAGCAGAAGTAAAAACCCCATCCAAATAAACAAAACACAACAACAACAACAAAAACAACCCCAAAACACCAGAAAAAAAACAAAACCAAAACAACAACCCAATCCACCTCCAAAAAAAGAAAAGACGAAAAAAAGAAGGGAAAAAATCCCCAAACAACACTGGAGGGAAGGAGAAAAAAAAGGAGAGAAACCTGTGAGGAAAAAATAATTTTAAATAGTGTGTATGGGATGTGAAGATGGGAACAAAAAGGAGGGGAACTGGAAGGGGGAAAACGTGGGGATAAAATAACCGTGGGGTTAAAAAGAGTGGAACAAAAAAAATGGGGAAAAAATAGAGGGAGAAAAAAAAGGAAAAAAGAAAATAATTTGGGGGGTTGACACTCAAATGGATTGCCCTGTTGGTGGCACTGTTGCAGAGGGCGCCACGTGTAGCTAATGCCAAACACCATCTTTCTGTCCTGGCACCTTAGGCTTAGCATCAGGGTCTGAACGTTCGCACTCAGGGAGCTGGTCTGTGGGTCAGGGGGTAGTGCTGTCCAGTTGGACTTTACACAAATGCAGTTTTAGGTGGGTAAGGAAGTGAGAATTTCCATATTGGTAGCACTATTCCAGAGGGTACAATGCATAGGATATGCCTAGCTCCTGGTTTCTGTCCTAACACATTAGGCTTACAAGCAGGTTCTGGACATTCGCACTTAAGGGCCTGGTTTATGGGGCGTCTGAGAGTGCTGCCCTGAGTGGTCGGACACAGGTGATGCTTTAGGTGGCTAAGCAAAGGTGGATTGCCATGTTGGTGTCACTGGTTAGGAAGGCACCATGTTTGCCTGATGCCCAGCACCAGCTTTCTGTTTGTTAGCATATTCTTTGCATTAGAATTTGGACGTTCAAACTTTGGGAGCTGTTTTGTGGATCGTCAGAGAGTGCTGTTCAGTGAGGCTTTACAGGGAGGGGTTTTACGTGTGTAAGTAAGTGACGATATCCATGTTGGTAGAACTGCTCCAGAGGACTCCCTGTGTAGAACATGTCCAGTTATTTGTTTCTGTTCTAACACATTAGCCTTAGGAGCAGGATCTGGACATTTCCACTTAGAGAGCTTGGCTCTGTGGCACTTGAGAGTGCAGTCCATGTAGGCAGCATGCAGATGCACTTCTCTGTGGCTAAGCAAGGCTGGAATCCCATGTTGGTGGCACTGTTCCGCAGGTCTCCCTGTGTAGGTGATGCTCAGCAACTGCTTTCTGTCCTGGTGCTACGTGCTTGGGAACAGCAGCTGGATGTTGGCACTGTGGAGCCGTGCTCCAGCACACCAAAGTGATGCAGCAGAGGGTCAGTACGGCAGCGGTGTTCAAGGTGGCAAAGCAAGGGCAGATTGCCGTGTTGGGGGCACCTTTCTGGAGGTCCCCATGTGTAGGAATGAAGTTGATAATTCCATTACTCCTCATAAACCCCACTGGGTTATTTTCGGTGGGCTTCAGCTACAGAATGAGCAGTGAGAAGAGTGGGAGCAGGGTGCTCACAAGTGGGCTTTGTTACCCTTAGCAGGCAGCAGAAGGTTCTCTGAAGCTGCTGATTGTTCTGGGAGAGTTGGGCTTGGAGAGGAAGGTGTGCAGGGAGCTGGGTTCATTTTGTTGTGTTTTCCTGAGATGAATACTATGAGTTGAATTTGTCTTTGCTTTGGTAAGATAGGAGTTCAGGGTCTTGTTGGAGTGCTGGGGTCTGCTGATGTACATGGGCTTCTCTTTGGCTGCTCCACTTGCTGTCTTGAGACTTCTGTGTGTTTATGAGGGAGAGTTTAGTGCCGCCTTCTTCCTTGAGGTCTAAGAACAACAGCCCGGCAGAGAAAGAAGGAAAAGTGCAAGGAATCTGCTTGCTGCCCTTAGAGTGCTATGCAGAAAGAATGTTGGCTCTTTTCTGAATGTTAAACCTCTGAAGAATCAGTTGGACCTGGCATGACGGGAATGGTATGGAATAAGGTGTGGATACTGTCCTGGTTCTGGCTGGGCTAGAATTGGTTCTCTTCCCTGCGGCTGGCGCAGTGCTGTGTTCTGGCTTGGTTCTGCAAACACGCTGGTAGCACACGGCTGTTTTAGCTGTTACTCAGTAGCACTTCGGCTGAGCAAGGACTTTCCAGTCTCTCCTGCTCTGCCAGTGAGGAGGGGCAGGGGAATCCAGGAGGAAGCAGAGGCAGGACACCTGGTACATAAAGTGGGGGGAGTCAGCCGGAAGGCGCAGGTCCCCCCCTCGGGTCAGGCTGGGTACCGCTGAGCGGGTGCTGAGCAGTTGCGTTGTGCATCACTGCTGGTTCACGTTTCCCTTTTCCCTGTCTAGTTCTAGAGGAGCAAAGTTTGTTGGAGAGCTGTGATGAGCTGTTGCTAGTGATGAGATTTGAGCTTTGGTCTTGTTGCTGCAGGTTTGTTTTTTAACTTCTTGTCCTGATTTTGTTCTTGGGGCTGAGGGAGCGGGGAGCGGCCGAGGGGACCGGCGGGGCTGGGGGAGCGGGGAGCCGCTGCGGGCCCGGCGGGCTCTGGCGGTGCTGCGGGTGCGGCTGTGCCGAGGGCGAGGCGGGGCCGGGGCCGGCGGGCAGCGCTGGCTGAAGCCGGTCCCGTGCCGGGCGGCCGCGCGGGCCGGTGTCGCTCCCGCAGGGCGGGCCGACGGGGCCGGGCGTTGCCCGGCGGGCGGTGGAGCGAGAGCGGCCGGTGCGTCCGTTGTCGGGGAGCGCCAGGGAGGGCCAGCGGCTGCCCGGCGCTGTGAACCCCAGCCACTTCCCGGCCAAGCTCTGCAGCTGGTGAACAGCCCGCGCTGCGGCTCCGTGCGCTGGGATGCCCGTGGCGAGGGGCTGCTCATCGACCAGCGGCTCTTCGAGCGAGAGCTGCTGGGCGCGGAGGCGGCCGGCGACGGGGGGCGCTGGCCGCCGAGTCTCTTTAAGACCAAGAACTTCGGCAGCTTCATCCGGAGCCAACCTGTACGGGTTCCTGCAAGCTGGGGCCGGGACCCGGGCTCGGGCACCTGCAGGACCCGGCGGGGGGCGATTGCGGCAGCGCCCCCGGGGCCCTGCTCCACTTCCACAGCCCCCATTTCCGCCGCGACCGCCCCGACCTCCTCGTGCACCTCAAGCGGCGGACGAGCGCCAACAAGGCGAAGCTGGCGGCCGGGCTGGAGCTGCCCAGCCGCCCGGCCCAGCTCTCCCAGTGCCCGCCCTCGACGCTCGGCGAGGCTGCCAGACCCGGTGAGCTGGGGTGGCCCCGGGCTGCGGGCCGAGAAGCACTGGGTGCTCTGGGGTTTGGCGATCGGCACCCCCGCACGGAGCAGGGTTGCCTGACCTTGCTGGCGGCTGCTCAGCTCCGCCGGTGCGGGAAAGCCGTTGTTGTTCGTGCAGGGAGATGCGCTGCCAGCAGGCACGGGGAGCGAGGTTCGCGGGTGGTTCCCTCTGCCCCTCGGCTGCAAGACAGCCTCTGTCGGGGCTGCAGTAAGAGCACCCTCACCCTGTCTCTGTGGAGCTGGCACAGCCCTACCAGGTGACCGTTACTTCTCCTTGAAGGGTTGCTCCATAAGCTGTCGTTAAATCTGTGTGAAGCGATGGGTAACCGACCGTATGAGGGCAAGTACCATTCCATGAAACCATAACTGACCGAGAGAGGAAACCAGGGAAGACGAAAGGGAATATCTTGGAAGTAACAAAACGGCAAAGTCTGAGCTGTTTTAGACTCAACTGAACCGGTTGAGCTACCTGGAAAAAAGCTGGCTTTGCTTTTGTTTTCCTTGACAAGCTGAGTGACCTGTGATCAAGTGCTCTCAGAGTCACGTTTAGGATTTGGACGTTGCCCTTGCCTTGGCTGCCTGTGTGCTGTCAGCACTGGAGTTTGGTAGAGCCCTGCTTCACCATTCCCCCTTTATTTTACCTTACTGCCTGATGTTACGCATGGCATTTCCTAAATGGCTTGCGCTGGTTTAGTCAGCTCCTGCCCATTTTGATTTATAATAGCACATTTCTAAGTAGCCATCACTTGCTCCTGAGGGTTTCAGGAGGCTGAATGCTCCAGAGATGACTGTGTGTTGGCACAGCACTGATGTTCCTGTGTGTTCAGGTGGTAGTGCTACAGCAGTTACTGTATGTTTAGGTGTAAGAATAGAGTCTGTTTCTGGATTAAGAATATTGGAGCAAAGGTGGTCTTCCCAGGGAACCTTGTGGAGCCTTGGCTCCTCATCCTGCCTTTCAGGGCTAGTGAAAACTCCTTCCCTTAGTCCTCGTTTCCCTTTGTTTTGCAGGACTGGTGACTGCAAGGCAGATTCCTCAACCTTGTCGTCCAGACAGCTGCTTTCCCAGCTGCAACAGAGCGGCCTCATGCCAGGACCCCCATGTTTTTCCAGCCAACAACTTCCCAGCAGCCTCCGGCCCCCGTCCAGACCATGGCAGGGTTCTGTTGGGTCGCTGCCAGGGCACTGGGTTTCCCCAGCTTTCCCAGGCCAGGGGCTCCCTTTCCAGTCATCCGCAAGTGCTGCACGGAGGTCACATACACTCTGCAGACGGTGTGCTCCCTTCTGCCGCTTCAGCGATGGGCTCCAGCTGGTGCTGCCCTTCCAGAACCCGGCAGCTGCGCATCTCCAGGGCAGTGCTTGCAAGGCCTGGATCCAACACGTACGGCAAAAGTTCTCCACTTGCTGCTCGAGAAGTTCCTGCAAAGTGGTGCATGAAATGTTTTCCCCCAGTGCTCTGTCACTGCGTGTGTATCTGACGTGTGTGCTTGCAGTGAGATGTGTGTTCCCTGTCCGTTACTTGCTACCAGCCGGTGACAGAATGTGCTTTAGCTGCTCATTTCTTCTTGGTCTGACTAGATCCTGTATCAGAGACAGAAGAGCTTAGAAATGCCTTCTCTGCAATGAGCAGGGAAGGACAAAAGTGTGTGGGTGAAGCAGGTGTGTGTGGAATCTTGATTCAGCTCTCAAGTCACACTTGTACCATTTAATTAATGTGAACTTTAGGAGAAATATGTTTTAAGGTGGAGAACACAGTCTTACAATCAGTGGGGAGGTCATAATCCATTTCAGGGAGTTAGCTTACGGAGCGGTTACTGCAGTGTTTAATGCAAGTAAGCAATAGAACTGTGCACCCTGGGCACCAGTTCTGGCAGTCTGATCCCTGTGTTTGAATTTTGCAGTCACCCTGCAGTGTTCACCCCCTGCCCAGGGAGCACCTCAGATTGTCAGCGCCAGTGCTGCGGCTGCGGCGTCCACCGACTGCGTCTTTGTGCAGGTGAGTGCAGGGCACAGCAAGCAGGGGGAAGGGAGGAGAGCCCACGCATGGACCGCAGGGTTCTGGGCTTGCGGCAGGAAGGAGAGAAGTTTGGGACTGGATCTGATGTAGAAAGGGAAAGTAACGTGGTTTGCCAATGCCCATTTCAAAGCACGGCTTTGAAACATGAAGGGGGCAGTGCTGTAACGCAGGTAAGGTTTCAGGGCAGCGGCATAGTGGGTGTCCTCATCGGCGGAGTGTTTTTTTCCTGTAAAAGTGTTTGACTTCACCATAATTCGCTTTAGTTCCTGAGTCTCCATTTGTCTTTGAAGGAAGCCCTTGCCTGCACAAAATGGGATTCTTTAATGTTATGATACTGGGAATCAGCTCTACTTCTGTGTCCCACCCACCTTGTGGCAGTCCTGAGTTTCACTGGACGCATGAGAAGAACCAAGTTGACTTTTGGAATTGGCCCCAGCTCAGAGCTATCCTATCTAGGAGAGCTCCAGTGCTTCCTGTCAATGCTTTCTAGAATTCTGGTGGAAATTACACCTTATTGGCTGGCATGGCTTATCAAAGAGCAAAAGAACCTCAGTAAAAATGCCAGGGTTTCCTTTTGCATTCCAGCAGCATGGAGATACTCTTTTTCCTCAGAGGGGATAAGCGAGGCACGCTCTGCTGGTGTGTGTTGAAAAAGGGTTGACCTGTGCAAGCCTGATCATCCAGTTTCTTGTCCTGCAAATACCAATCTTTTGTCCTTTTTGCATGTGTCTGTTTTAATATGAGCCTACCCGAGCTGGGCAGGTTATGGCCAGGGTAACGTTGCTGTAAGGCTAGAAATAGCCAAGAGCCAGTCGTGCCACTGATAGGCTGGTATTTATATTTCACACAGTGTATCTTTGTCCTCTCACTTCCACTGTGAGCTGCTTTTCTCTCCAGCACGTGAGGATCAATGTGAGTGATGGGGAGTCACAATCACATCAGTTCTGATGTCAGAAGGCTTAGATGAGTGTCTGGGATAGCACCTGGTCCCAGAGGAGTTGTCAGGGGGTGGTGGTGTGGCTAGATTGAAAGGTAATAGCAATACACTGTTGAAAGGGGCTTCCTTTGAGAAGCAAGTCCACGGAGTCAGAAGAGATGGACTGGTTACTTAACCAGTAAGTGGCCCGGCAACTTCCTGGTTAACCACTTCCTGGTTAGTGGTTGCTTGGATGATGCGGCCACAGGCAGGGAACTGGCAGTCAAAAGCTGCTGGTGCATCTGGGCAGAGGTTGGCGGAAGGTCCCCTGCGTGTGAGCATCCCAAAGGCAAGCAGGGGTGTAAACCAGTGGTGCCACGTCAGTGCCTGGCTGCCTCTGAGCAGGACAACAGGAGCAGTGTACAGAACAGATCAAAAGGGCTTGAGATTTGCTAGCCTTAGTGTAGCCTCCATCACTTCTCCCGGAGCAGGGTGGCAGGGGCTGTGCAGGTGGTACAGAAGACAGTGCTTTGCCTGTGGATCTCACTGAGCTCTGGCCCATAATCAGTTTCCCTTGCGTGTGCTCTGGGGCAGACACTTCCCCGAGGTCCTGCTGAGGGATGCAGCCAGCTACAGCATTGATCATCCTGCCCTGCTTATGTACTGATCATCAGTAAGCACTCGCACAGTCCTCAGGAGCGGTAAAATCCATCAGCCCTGACTGAAAATGGTGGTGATTTTTTGATCTAGAAATTCCCTGTATTTTGTTTCTCACAGAGTCCTGAATTGCAGCCACCTTCTGCAGCTGAATGCCTGCCCTCTGGCGGGGTACATCATGCATCCGAACATGAGGAGGTGCTGCCAGAATTAAGTTATGAAGATGTGTTTCAGTTTTTCAATGAGATTTATGCATCAGACAGCGCTGATGTAGTGACACCGGAGGCTGCAGAAAGCTGGGGTGGAGAGCTGCTTGAAAGCTACATCAATGCGGCCAGAGAAAGCACTGCTGCTGCTGAAACAGCACAAGACTATGTGACCACCCAGGGAGCCCCTGAAGAACATGGAGAGCAGCTGGATCACAACCCAGCTCAAAGATCTGAAATGTTTGTTCTGGAAGGACTCTTTAGTGCAGAACAAGTAAGTGCTAAATAGAGGTAAAACTCCCCAGGAAACTATTGAGTGTTCTTTGGGTTTATTTCGTTATTTGCTGTGTTTATTTAAAGGAGAATGGGAGTGTTAAATGCGGATGGGTGACAGCAGAGAGAGAACTGACTTCAGGAGCCGAGGCAGAGATGAAAGCTGCAGAAGAGGCAGGGTCCCCTGGAAAGCGTCCGTGCAGGAAGAGAAGACGCAGCGCAGAGCAGGGTAAGTCCCTGCTAAGAGATGCTACATGTTTTAGAGGTGGGCAAGACAGGTGCTCTGAAACTCTTCCGGGAAGGGGAGATCACAAGAGCTGAGTTATTGTCTGCAGTGTAAGTACCTCCCCGGGCCTTCAGTTCAACTATTGCACTCGTACGAGCTCTTGGCGTACTTGCCCACACGCTTCTATACGTAAGCCGGTGCTGAGGACTCCTAGGTGGACAAGGGAATAAATTCTATGCTTCAATAAAAGCTGAAGTTGTGGGAGTTGTGTCAGAGCCCCGCATGTCACAGTACACAGCGCTGAGATGCAGGCTGTGGATATGTTTGCTGGAGGGTGACAGTGCCACAAAGGGAACACTGACTAATGAGGTGACTGTTGAAGTAAGAGGGGAAAACCCCACCACGCTGCCGAAGTGAGGGCACGAGTGCAACCTTTCTGGCTCAGACCACTAAATGAATATCACACCAGCCTGCTGATAGGTGTGCTGCATCTGTGTGCACAGCACCTGTGTGCTGCAACAGAGGAGAAAAACAGCCTCAGATTTTCAAGTCGCAGGCCGCCTTTGGCCGGATTTGACTGTCCCTGATGGCAGCAGAGTTGCTGTGCGTGCTGCCAGGTGAGCCACAGGCAGGGCCTGATACTTCCTCGGTGTTGTTTGCTTCCTAGATGGCCAGGAGCCGGAAGGCGGAGCCTGGAAGCGGGGCTGCTTCTGGAGGGAGACACCAGAGTGAGGAGCGTGGGAACAGGCGGAAGTCATTGAAGTCATTGATAGCTTTATTCATCAATTTATCTGTTCTTTATAGTTTTCTTCCTACATTTCTACCTGATTTATAGTCTTATTTATAAATTTATAGCTTATTTATAGCTTTATTCCTAAATTTCTATCTTATTTATAGCCTTATTTATAAATTTATAGCTTATTTATAGCTTTATTCCTTAATTTGAATCTTATTTATAGCTTTATTTAGAAATCTATACCTTATTTATAGGTTTATTCCTAAATTTTTATCTTATTTATAGCCTTATTTATAAATTTATAGCTTATTTATAGCTTTATTCCTAAATTTCTATCTTATTTATAGCCTTAATTATAAATTTATAGCTTATTTATACCTTTATTCCTAAATTTCTATCTTATTTATAGCTTTATTTATAAATTTATACCTTATTTATAGCTTTATTCCTAAATTTTTATCTTTTTTTAGCCTTATTTATAAATTTATAGCTTATTTATAGCTTTATTCCTAAATTTCTATCTTATTTATAGCTTTATTTATAAATTTATACCTTATTTATAGCTTTATTCCTAAATTTTTATCTTTTTTTAGCCTTATTTATAAATTTATACCTTATTTATGGTTTTATTCCTAAATTTTTACCTTATTTATAGCCTTATTTATAATTTTATACCTTATTTATAGGTTTATTCCTAAATTTTTATCTTATTTATAGACTTATTTATAATTTTATACCTTATTTATAGGTTTATTCCTAAATTTTTATCTTATTTATAGCCTTATTTATAAATTTATAGGTTATTTATAGCTTTATTCCTAAATTTGTATCTTATTTATAGCCTTATTTATAAATTTATAGCTTATTTATAGCTTTATTCCTAAATTTGTATATTATTTATAGCTTTATTTAGAAATCTATACCTTATTTACAGATTTATTCCTAAATTTTTCTTTTTTTTAGCCTTATTTATAAATTTATAGCTTATTTATAGCTTTATTCCTAAATTTCTATCTTATTTATAGCTTTATTTATAAATTTATACCTTATTTATGGCTTTATTCCTAAATTTTTACCTTATTTATAGCCTTATTTATAATTTTATACCTTATTTATAGGTTTATTCCTAAATTTTTATCTTATTTATAGCCTTATTTATAAATTTATAGGTTATTTATAGCTTTATTCCTAAACTTGTATCTTATTTATAGCCTTATTTATAAATTTATAGCTTATTTATAGCTTTATTCCTAAATTTGTATATTATTTATAGCTTTATTTAGAAATCTATACCTTATTTACAGATTTATTCCTAAATTTTTATCTTTTTTTTAGCCTTATTTATAAATTTATAGCTTATTTATAGCTTTATTCCTAAATTTCTATCTTATTTATAGCTTTATTTATAAATTTATACCTTATTTATAGCTTTATTCCTAAATTTTTATCTTATTTATAGCCTTATTTATAATTTTATACCTTATTTATAGGTTTATTCCTAAATTCTTATCTTATTTATAGCCTTATTTATATATTTATAGCTTATTTATAGCTTTATTGCTAAATTTGTATCTTATTTATAGATTTATTCTCAGTGGGATTTCTTTATCTGCAGGTTTGGAAGCAAATTTTTATCTTATTTATAGCTTATTTATAAAGTTATAGCTTATTTATAGCTTTATTCCTCAATTTGTATCTTATTTATAGCTTTATTTAGAAATCTATACCTTATTTACAGGTTTATTCCTAAATTTGTATCTTATTTATAGCTTTATTTAGAAATCTATACCTTATTTACAGGTTTATTCCTAAATTTGTATCTTATTTATAGCCTTATTTATAATTTTATAGCTTATTTATAGCCTTATTCCTAAATTTGTATCCTATTTATAGCTTTATTTTTAATTTTTTACCTTATTTATAATTTTTATTCCCAAATTTCTATCTTTTTATAGCCTTATTTATAAATTTATAGCTTATTTATAGCTTTATTTCTAAATTTCTATCTTATTTATAGCCTTATTTATAGATTTATAGCTTATTTATAGGTTTATTCCTCAATTTGTATATTATTTATAGCCTTATAAATGCATATCTTATTTATAGCCTTATTTATAAATTTATATCTTATTTATAATTTTATTCCCAAATTTCTATCTTTTTATAGCCTTATTTATAAATGTATAGCTTATTTATATCTTTATTCTCAAAATTCTATCTTATTTATTGCTTTATTTCTAAATGTCTTTGTTATTTATAGCCTTATTTATAAATTTATAGCTTATTTATAGCTTTATTCCTAAATTTCTATCGTATTTATAGCTTTATTTATAAATTTATAGCTTATTTATGGCTTTATTCCTAAATTTTTACCTTATTTATAGCCTTATTTATAATCTTATACCTTATTTATAGGTTTATTCCTAAATTTTTATCTTATTTATAGCTTTATTTAGAAATCTATACCTTATTTACAGATTTATTCCTAAATTTTTATCTTTTTTTAGCCTTATTTATAAATTTATAGCTTATTTATAGCTTTATTCCTAAATTTCTATCTTATTTATAGCTTTATTTATAAATTTATACCTTATTTATAGCTTTATTCCTAAATTTTTATCTTATTTATAGCCTTATTTATAATTTTATACCTTATTTATAGGTTTATTCCTAAATTCTTATCTTATTTATAGCCTTATTTATATATTTATAGCTTATTTATAGCTTTATTGCTAAATTTGTATCTTATTTATAGATTTATTTAGAAACCCATCCCTTATTTGCAGGTTTATTCCTAAATTTTTATCTTATTTATAGCTTATTTATAAAGTTATAGCTTATTTATAGCTTTATTCCTCAATTTGTATCTTATTTATAGCTTTATTTAGAAATCTATACCTTATTTACAGGTTTATTCCTAAATTTGTATCTTATTTATAGCTTTATTTAGAAATCTATACCTTATTTACAGGTTTATTCCTAAATTTGTATCTTATTTATAGCCTTATTTGTAAATTTATAGCTTATTTATAGCTTTATTCCTAAATTTGTATCTTATTTCTAGATTCATTTAGAAATCCATACCTTATTTACAGGTTTATTCCTAAATTTTTATCTTATTTGTAGCCTTATTTATAATTTTATAGATTATTTATAGCTTTATTCCTAAATTTGTATCTTATTTATAGCCTTATTTATAATTTTATAGCTTATTTATAATTTTTATTCCCAAATTTCTATCTTTTTATAGCCTTATTTATAAATTTATAGCTTATTTATAGCTTTATTTCTAAATTTCTATCTTATTTATAGCCTTATTTATAGATTTATAGCTTATTTATAGGTTTATTCCTCAATTTGTATATTATTTATAGCCTTATAAATGCATATCTTATTTATAGCCTTATTTATACATTTATATCTTATTTATAATTTTATTCCCAAATTTCTTTTTATAGCCTTATTTATAAATGTATAGCTTATTTATATCTTTATTCTCAAAATTCTATCTTATTTATTGCTTTATTTCTAAATGTCTTTGTTATTTATAGCCTTATTTATAAATTTATAGCTTATTTATAGCTTTATTTGTAAATTTCTTTCTTATTTATAGCCTTATTTATAGATTTATAGCTTATTTATAGCTTTATTCCTCAATTTGTATCTTATTTATAGCCTTATAAATTTATATTTTATTTATAGCCTTATTTATAAATGTATATCTTATTTATAATTTTATTCCCAAATTTCTCTTTTTTATAGCCTTGTTTATAAATGTATAGCTTATTTATAGCTTTATTCCCCAAATTCTATCTTATTTATAGCTTTATTTCTAAATTTCTTTCTTATTTATAGCCTTATTTATAAATTTATAGCGTATTTATAGCTTTATTTGTAAATTTCTTTCTTATTTATAGCCTTATTTATAGATTTATAGCTTATTTATAGGTTTATTCCTCAATTTGTATCTTATTTATAGCCTTATAAATTTATATCTAATCCTAATCCTAACCGAACCCTATTATTTATAGCTTTATTCCTAACTTTGTATGTTATTTATAGCTTTGTTTATAAAATTATGTGTTATTTATAGCTTTATTTATAATTATCTATGCTATTTATAGCTTTATTTAGAAATTTGTTATTTATTGCTTTATTTCTAAATTTAAATGTTATTTATAGCTTTATTTATAAAATTTTATATTTATTTTGTTTTTCATAAGTCTGTGTCTTACTTAGAGCTTTATTTATCAATTTATGTGTTATTTATAGCTTTTTAAATTTATGTTATTTCTAGCTTTAATCATAATTTTGTATCTTATTTAGAGCTTTATAAATGTCTAAGTTGTTTATAGCTTTAGTCATAATTTCATAGCTTATTTAGAGCTTTATTCATAAATTTGGATGTTATTTATGGCTTTATTTCTATATTTGTGTGTTATTTATAGCCTTATTTATAAATTTATATATTATTTATGTTTTTTTTCCTAAATTTTTTCTTATTTATAGCTTATTCCTAACTTTGTATGTTATTTATAGCTTTATTTATAACTCTCTATGCTATTTATAGCTTTATTTATAAATATCTATGCTATTTATAGCTTTATTTATAAATCTATGTTATAGCTTTAGTCATCAATTTATATGTTATTAATAGCTTTTAAAAATAAATTTGTATTATTTATAGCTTTATTTAGAAATTTATGTTATTTAAAGCTTTATTTCTAAATTTATATGTTATTTATAGCTTTATTTATAAATTTGTATCTTACTGCTTTATTCATAAGTCTGTATCTTATTTATAGCTTTATTCATCAATGTATGTGTTATTTACAGCTTTATAAATTTATGTTATTTCTAGCTTTATTCCTAAATTTATATCTTGTTTATAGCTTTATTCCTAAATTTTCATGTTATTTATAGCTTTATTTATAAATTTGTGTTATAGCTTTTGTCATGAATTTGTATGTTATTAATAGCTTTATTTATAAATTTGTGTTATTTATAGCTTTATTTAGAAATTTATATGTTTTATATAGCTTTAGTCATAAATTTGTCTCTTATTTATAGCTTTATTTATAAATTTGTATCTTATTTATTGCTTTATTCATAAGCCTCTATCTGATTCATAGCTTTATTATTCAATGTATGTGTTATTTATAGCTTTATAAATTTATGTTATTTCTAGCTTTAGTCATAGTTTTGTATCTTAGGGCTTTATAAATTTATACGTTATTTATAGCTTTAGTCGTAATTTTGTATCTTCTTTAGAGCTTTATTCATAAATTTGTATGCTATTTATAGCTTTATTTCTAAATTTGTTTGCTATTTATAGCCTTATTTATAAATCTATGTTATTTATAGCTTTATTCCTAACTTTGTCTGTTATTTATAGCTTTATTTATAGATTTATGTGCTATTTATTGATTTAGGTATAAATATCTATGCTATTTATACCTTTATTTATAAATTTATGTTCTTTATAGCTTTTGTCATGAATTTGTATGTTATTAATAGCTTTATTTATAAATTTGTGTTATTTATAGCTTTATTTAGAAATGTATATGTTTTATATAGCTTTAGTCATAAATTTGTCTCTTATTTATAGCTTTATTTATAAATTTGTATCTTATTTATTGCTGTATTCATAAGCCTCTATCTGATTCATAGCTTTATTATTCAATGTATGTGTTATTTATAGCTTTATAAATTTATGTTATTTCTAGCTTTAGTCATAGTTTTGTATCTTAGGGCTTTATAAATTTATACGTTATTTATAGCTTTAGTCGTAATTTTGTATCTTATTTAGAGCTTTATTCATAAATTTGTATGCTATTTATAGCTTTATTTCTAAATTTGTTTGCTATTTATAGCCTTATTTATAAATCTATATGTTATTTATAGCTTTATTCCTAACTTTGTCTGTTATTTATAGCTTTATTTATAGATTTATGTGCTATTTATTGATTTATTTATAAATATCTATGCTATTTATACCTTTATTTATAAATTTATGTTCTTTATAGCTTTTGTCATGAATTTGTATGTTATTAATAGCTTTATTTATAAATTTGTGTTATTTATAGCTTTATTTAGAAATTTATGTTATGTATAGCTTTAATCATACATTTGTATCGTATTTATAGCTTTATTTATAAATTTGTATCTTATTTATTGCTTTATTCATAAGTCTATCTTATTTATAGCTTTATTATTCAATGTATGTGTTATTTATAGCTTTATAAATTTATGTTATTTCTAGCTTTAGTCATAATTTTGTATCTTATTTCTACCTTTATTCATATATTTGTATGCTATTTATAGCTTTATTTATAAAATTTTAAGGTATTTATAACATTATTAATAAATATACGTGTTAGTTATTGCTTTACTAATACTTTATATGTTGTTTATAGCTTTATTAATACATTTGTATGGTATTTATTCCTTTATTCATAAATATGTTATTTATAGCTTTATTTATAAATTTATGTGATTTCTAGCTTTAGTCATAAATTTGTATCTTATTTATAGCTTTATTAATTTATATGGTATTTATAGTTTTATTTATAAATTTGTATGTTATTTATAGCTTTCTTCATAAATTTATCTTATTTATAGCTTTCTTCACAAATTTATATCTTACCTATAGCTTTCTTCATAAATTTATATCTCATATCTGTATTAATAAATTTGTACGTTATAGCTCTAGTAATAAATTTTTATTATTTATAGCTTTATTCGTAAATTATGATGTTATTTATAGTTTTCTTCATAAATTTGTATGTTATTCATAGCTCTATTAATAAATGTTTTTATAACTTTATTCGTAAATCTGTATAACTTATTTATAGCTTTATTTATAGATTTATATGTTGTTCATAGCTTTATTCATAAATGTGTATGTTATTTGTATCTTTACTCATAAATTTATGTTATTTATAGGTTTCTTCTTAAATTTTTATGTGTCATTTATAGCTTTATTAATAAATTTATATGTTATTTATAGCTTTATTTATAGATTTGTATGTGTTATTTATATCTTTCCTAATAAATTTATATGTTATTTTTTTCATAAATTTAGGTTATTTATAGCTTTCTGCATAAATTTTTATGTGTTAGCTATAGCTTTATTAATAAATTTTATTTTATTTATAGATTTCTTCATAAATTTGTATGTGTTATCTATTGCTTTATTAATAAATGTATATGTTATTTATAGCTTTCTTCATAAATGTGTATGTTATTTCTGGCTTTCTTTATAAATCTGTATGTTATTTATGGCTTTATTTAGAAATGTGTATGTTATTTATAGCTTTATTCAGAAGTGTATATGGTATTTATAGCTTTATTAATTTATATGTTATTTAGAGATTTCTTCATAAATTTATATTATTTATAGCTTTCTTCCTAAATTCGTGTGTTATTTACAGCTTTCTTCATAAATTTGTGTGTTATTATAGCTTTATTAATAAATTTATATGTTACTCATAATTTTCTTCATAAATTTGTATGTTTTTTATATCTCAATAAAACTATATGTTATGTATACCTTTCTTCATAAATTTGTATGTGTTATTTATACCTTTCTTCATAAATTTATATGATATTTATAGCTTTATTAATAAATTTATTGGTATTTATAACATTATATGTGTTTATAGTGTTAATAAATCTGATGGTTTAAATAGCTGTGTTTGTGTCTTGATGTTAAGAATAGCGCTGACATCTGTGTCTCAGAAATTGTTAATCTGGTCTGTGTTCTCAGCACTGCCATCCCCTCTGGACTTTGGAATCCACGTTGTGGGAAATATTAATAGTTGTACCTCTTGCCTTTTCTCCTCGAAGGACCAACCTATGGGGGAGACGTCCCCCCACATCTTCTACCTCCGCACCAGGCTATTTACGGTAGCATTTGGGAATTTCGGGGATTTTAAATGTCCTTTGAATACCCATGAAACCAACCTGCTCCTTTGCTGGGACCCAGCGCGTTGCTGCGTATGGTTCAGGTCTTGCTTAAGGGTAAACAACGATGTGAGCATACCCCCCAGGCATCTTCCCCGAGGCTGTACAGTTATGAGTGGCAGGCTGTGTGGGATAGTATGGCCAAGTACCTAGGCCAGTGGCCCCTGCCATGCTGTGGAACTTCACCCCTGGACAAGTGCCAAATCCAGGAAAACTACTCCATTAGCTGGGAAAAGCATCGTCCTGGCAATACCAGGTAGTTAAGTGGGGATATCCATGGTCCTGGCACTGTTTCGGAGGGCACCTTGTGTAAAATAAGCCCAGCTCCTGGGTTCTGTCCTAACTCATTAGTCTTAGGAGCAGGGTCTAGACATGTGCACTTAGGGTGCCTGTGTCTTGGTCACCGGAGAGTGGTGTCCAGTGAGGATTTAGAGAGATGGAGTTTTCGGTGTGTAAGGAAGGGAGAATATCCGTGTTGGAGGCACTCTTCTGGAAAGACTCATATGTAGGATATGCCCAGCTCCTGGTTTCTGTCCTAGCAAATTAGGCTTAGGAGCAGGGTCTGGATATTCGCTCTTAGGGAGCTGGTATCTCAGTCATGGGATAGTGGTGTCCAGTGATGCTTTACAGGGGTGGAGTTTGAGGTGGGTAAGTAAGTGAGGGTATCCATGTTGGAGGCACTGTTCTGGCAGGCTCCCTGCATAGAATGCGTCCAGCTACTTTTTTCTGTCCTAACACATTAGGCTTAGGAGCAGAATCTGGACACTGGCACTTAGGGAGCTGATGTCTCGGTCACCCAAGAGTGGTGTGTACTCAGGCTTTACAGAGATGGAGAGTGAGGTGGGTAAATAAGTGAGGATATAGATGTTGGCACCGCTGTCCTGAAGGGACCCCTCTGTAGAACATGCCCGGCTACATCTTTCTGTTCTAACTCATGAGGCTTAGGAGTAGGGTCTGGACATTGGCGCTTAGGGAGCTCGTGTCTTGGTCACTGGAGAGTGGTGTCCGGTGAGGCTTTACGGAATCTATGGAGATTTAGGTGGGTAAGGAAGGGAGGATATCCATGTTGGTGGCACTGTTGCAGAGGGCTCCCTGTGAAGAACGTGTCCATCTCCTAGTTTCTGTCCTAAGTCATTAGGCTCAGAAGCAGGCTCTGGACATTTGCCCTTAGGGAGCTGGTGTCTCTGTCACCGGAGAGTGATGTCCAGTGAGGCTTTAGAGAGATGGAGTTTTACATGTGTACGTAAGTGAGAATATCCGTGTTGGGGGGGCTGTTCTGGAAGGCACCATATGCTGGACATGGCCAGCTCCTAGTTTTTGTCCTAAGACATTAATTAGGCTTAGGAGCAGGGTTTGGCCATAGGCACTTACGGAGTGGTGTCTCGGTCACCAGATTCTGGTGTCCAGTGATGCTTTACAGAGACTGAGGTTTAGGTGTGTAAGTAAGTGAGGATATCCATGTTGTTGGCACTGTTGCTGAGGGCTCCCTGTGTAGTACATGTCCAGCTCCTGGTTTCTGTCCTAAGGCATTGGGCTTAGGAGCAGGTTCTGGGCATTGGCACATAGGGAGCTGATGTCTTAGTCACCGGAGTGTGGTGCCCAGTGAGGCTTTACAGGATTTTAGGTGTGTAAGTAAGTGAGGATATCCATGTTGTTGGCACTGTTCCGCAGGACACACTGTTTATAACATGTCCAGCTATTTGTTACTGTGCTAACGCATGAGGCTTAGGATCAGGATGTGGACATTCCCACTTTGGGAGCTGGTGTCTCGACGGTCCTTCCGTCCGTGTGTGTCCCGTGCCCGTCCTCGGGTCTCCATCAGCAGCCTGGCGGAGGGGCAGAGCGTGTCCAGCTCCCTGTGGCCGTAGTTCTGGGGGCTGCCGTTTCCCTGGCACGGGCAGGCTCTGAGCCTGCAGCTGAGGGCTGCTGTTCTGCAGGGGTCTCTTGACCTGATCTTCAAGAGATGGGGAGTAAGAGCAGACGTGTTTTCTGAGACTCCTATGTATTATAAAGTATGTTGTAATGCCTGGACAGAAAGTCAAATGAAATGAAATGGAGTCAGTTTAACCCCAAAGCTTTCAGTTTGGGTCTCAGTGTTGTGCCTGCAACTTAAACCCTGTATTTTTCCTGGCCGGCAATTACCGATTGTCTCTGCTTCACTCACAGGCTCTTCATATGCTAGTTATTCTTCAGGAGGTTGTTCTGAGAGAAGCTGCTTAACATAGGAAGATGCTGCTGCTGACCTTGTGTTAGAGGTCTGAAAAGAAGCAGCTGAATTGCTTCAATTTCTGTTTTTAAAGGAACGACTTACGGATGATGGGATCGATGAAGACAGTGGAGAAGATGCAGGCGAAGATGCCAATACAGTGCAGCGGCCTGGATTCGTGGCTTCTGCTTGGTCCTTTATCACAACCTTCTTCACGTCACTCGTCCCTGAAGGGTCTCCACAGGTTGGCAATTAAAGAGGAAGAGGAGCTGAGCGGCTTCAGTAGCCACACATAGAAGTGGAGCAGATTCTAGTGAGCGTTTTAAATACAGTGCAATTCCTGAACATTTGTTATGTTACCTTTCTGGTCATGGTGTACCAGAATGTGTGTGTGTTTTGTTTCCTGTTGGCTTTCTCATGCATTGAATATCTTAAGCACAAGAGGACTACTGAATGCTTTCTTTTAAGATTCTTTTTCTGAGGAATAAAATGTAAAGATATTGGTCTTCCACAGTTTATTTTAATTTGAAATGTGTATTATACTGAGGCAAAAAGCTTGTACTTAATCTGCACCATTAAGTCTTTAAAGAGCTGTTAAAAACATGAATGTCGGTGGAACTTGAAGTACTCTCCATCTGCATAATGTATCTTGTGATCTTGGGTTAGTTTTGTGCAGGGTGTGACTTCTCAGCTGAGATTTGGAGTGGATACCGTTCCTGAAAGAAGGCTGTAAACACAAGGATTACTTGCTGATGGCATGTTGTCTTCATGCCACAAAATACTAAGCCTCTTGTTCTACATTTAGAAAGCTAAAAGCTTTTCCTTGAGACTCTTCTGAAGTTCATTCCAGTTGGGGATGTTTGACAGTTCTTCAAAGACAACTGACAGTGAGGGGAGAAACCTTACATTTTTGATACATACAGTACTTTTTAAGGAAAATACAGCTGTACTGGGGAAAAAACATGAACATTAGGGTTTTTTAAATAAAAACTGACGGTAACTCTTTTGGATGTTTATATGCATATTTGAATGCAAACGACTAAGCAGTGCATCATTGAGGATGAGCATGTGTTTGATTTGAGAGTGGAATAAAGATATCACGGTGGCATTACTAATGGTGACTGAAGTGGTGTGTTTGTAGCAGCGCATCCGCAGTTACAGGTATGATCTCAAGAGCAGGCTATCTCTATTCTTAAACTTAATTAAAACTGAGGAAAGAGAAATTGTACGTGAGATAACAGCACGCTGGAACCGTCAGGTTTTTGGATGCTTTCTTTAGCTTTTGACCATGGTCAAGAAGTTAGAGTTGGTTTTGTTCCTTTGTTACCATGTGCTGTCTAACTTTAAAATGGCTGCAAAAACTCTGTTACACTCTAAAGCTCTTAAAGAAGTCTGAACAAGTGAGAAGTGGGGGTTCATTTTTTGCTTGCTCCTGTCCAGCTGCTGCAGTTTTCTTTGGTTTTATCCTCTGAAACACCCGTCAGGATTTCTAGGCCTTACTAAAAGTTGACTCATTTGGAGAAATTTGAACAGTGGTTTGAATTTAAACAGCTTCAATAGCATGCTTTTTGAGTTACAAAATATCTTGTACTTACAAATCAGTCATAGGAGGAGAAATACAAGTCTCTTGCAAGCACAAATTATTTGCTGTGTAGACAGCAATGAGGAATCACGTTTAATTGTGGTGTTTTGCTGCCACGGTGCTGTGGAGAGCTGCTCTCAGTTTAGGTTCTTTACTACATAGATATAAAATGCGTAGACCTTGTCCAAGACAATTTACCCTTTTAATTTGCTGGATGGATCTAACTTGATTAATCTTTAAGAACTGTTAAGGAAATTTCCCTTTTTAAAGGAATGGCACAGAGGGACAGTCTTGAATAGGAAACAACTGGTGGCAGCTCTCTGCTGTTAGCAGACTAGATAAAGGAAGTTGCTGTTATGCTATTATGAAGACAGGCTGAGAAAGTTGGGGCTGTTCAGCCTGGAGAAGAGAAGGCTGCGTGGAGGACCGCATAGCAGCCTTCCAGTATCTGAAGGGGGGCTATAGGGGTGCTGGAGAGGGACTCTTCATTAGGAACTGTAGTGATAGGACAAGGGATAACGGGTTAAAATTTAAACAGGGGAAGTTCAGATTGGATGTAAGGAGGAAGTTCTTTACTGTAAGGGGGGGGAGGCACTGGAATGGGTTGCCCAAGGGAGCTGTGAATGTTCCATCCCTGGTGGTGTTTAAGGCCAGGCTGGACAGAGCACTGGGTGACATGGTTTAGTGTGAGGTGTCCCTGCCCATGGCAGGGGGGTTGGAACTTGATGGTCCTAAGGTTCTTTCCACTGCTAACTATTCTATGATTCTATGTTTCTATTAGACCTGATTTGGTTAAAAAGCACGGGATTATCATTGCTTGTTCTTATGCAGGTGAAGAGGAATTTGTTTATAGGTTATACAAGGTCAAAATAGTGAACTGGGAAATCCTGGCACTCGGTTGGATATTGAGGGAGATATTCTGAGATCTTGAACCAGTTGTGCACCAGAGCTGGAGCAAGCATCAAAGAGGCCAGACTTCCAGGAGAATGTTTAAAGGACATGGAACCTCCCAGCTTCCAGAACCATACCAAGATCTGAGCAAGGAGAAGAAAAAAGGTGGAAAACGAGTGAGAAAGAAGGATGGGATACAGAGCATTACCAAAAAGCAGTGAAGAAGTTGGAGGCAGGGGAAAGCCAAAGGGAGGATCAAAGTTAAGAGAAGATGTGATCATGAATAAATATGAAGCAAGCAGCGAGGAGCTGATTGAGGTACAAGAGGTTCAATTTCCTTTTCAGAAAAGGAAAGAGCTTGATGAGAATTAATCAGATCAGGTGTTTGTTTTACGGGTTTGTGAGCAATTTGGGTATAGAGTTGAACAGTGTGAAATACGTAACAGATAGTGATGGAAGAGAAATGAAAACCCTAGGAAAACAGTTGCTTTTTCTTAGGGTATCCATGTCATAACTGTTCTATAGCATAAACCAGAACACAGTTATGTAGTCCATGGCTGTAGGCAAAGCTAGAGGCTGAATTATAGCAAATCTATGGCACGAAATGGAACAAAAGGTTTGAGGATTAAGGCAGGCTAGGCTGTGCCCCCAGTATTAATGGTTCTGTAACATATCTGTGCATCACCCACTTTTACAACTCTGAGTACAGCAAAAGTGAATGAAATTCATTCTTTTCTTTACCTTCCAGGAAGACATGAAATGGCAGGTACACAGACTTCCTCTAAATGGGGGTAGCCTTTTCCTCCTGTTACCTTGTGAGCTTGCAAGCCCTTCCTCGTGCTGCTGCTTGCTTTGGAGACTTTGCCGGGCAGCAGCGGCTTTCCAGTTGCTCCCTGTAATGATGAGAGAAGTTATGGCATGGTACTTCAGGAAAAGGCTGTTTCTGTCTCAGACATACTCTGCGACTTCTTACTATTGCTGCCACAGAAAATATCATTGTGTGCAAGGTTTGTACCAGTAGCAAGCGATGCAAAATCACATTGTTCTGTCATATGGTGACAGACTAATGGTGTTTCTGATGCTTGTTTTCTGTACAAGCCAGATGTTTTCTAGTGCCAGCCTGTTCTTAGCTGGAAGCAGGTTTTTTTTGCAAGGCAGCAGTTCAGGGGTGACTCCTGTGATGCTTAGCAGCTCAAGACTTACTAAGAGGACAATCTACAGCTGGAGAGAAGGGAAACACATACTGGACCTGAAAGAGCTGGCCAGAAAAGACGAGGGCTGGCTAACCTTCTTTTGCAATTCAGCGAAGGCAAGCACAGTATCCAGTGGGAGAATGCCCAAACTAAAGAAGCATCTCTGATATTGATGTGATTTCACTGCCTGAATTGTTGCTAGGGCTTGGGATGGTGAAGCCAAAGATGTGCTGTTGTTTTGTTGATATTTGCTTAAACTTCCCTTTAATGCTATGTATTAACACCTAGATTAAACCTCCCCTGCACAACTTGAGGCCGTTTTCTTTTGTTCCATGACTTCGGAGCAGAGACCAGCCCCCTCCTGGCTCCATCCTCTTGTCTGGCGGTTGTAGAGAGTGATAAGGTCCTCCCCTGAGCTTTCTCTTCTGCAGACTAAACACCCCCAGGCGCTGTTAACTGGGTTTCCTCATCCTCGCATAGCTTTAGGTGTTCAAGGAATGAACTGCAACGTGAGTGGTTGTTTCTGGAGTAGGGCACTGCAGTTGGAATCTCAAGGTGTGTAAGTAGGACAACACATGCAGAAAGCCTGTTGGCTTTCATTCCACACACAACACCCAACACCCCCCCACGCCCCCCCCCCCTCAGCTTTGCAGAAATCCTGGGAAGTAGAATCTAGGTGTGAGAAGTTTATAAGATGGAAGTAAGCTGTGAGCATGTTAGTTTGTAAAATGGGGGGGGGGGGGGGGGAATGTTTGGGGGTTATTTATGTGTGTGTGCCCACCTTTTCTTCACCCCTTTAAACTGCTGACCTTAACTGCTGCCTGTGGACAGGCAAAGCCTGGTTCTTTGCGATAAGGTGAGCGTGTTTGGGTGGCTTTCTTGAAGGGCTTTGGTTAGTAACGATGCCCGAGTTTCAAGTGCAGTAACGCAGTAACCGCAGCACTGTGAAAACACGCTGCTGCAACAATACAATGTGCCTTGCGCCTTGCGCCTTGGCGGGGGCGCTGTGTGCGCTCGTGTTCCACACAGGTAAGGAAGGGGAACACGGCTCCGGGGCTCCTGGGCGGCGAACTGGGGGGAAACAGTGGAAGAGAGAAAGGGGGAGGGAGGAAAATGCCGGGGGGGGGGGGGGTGAAGCAGAGGAAAAAAGCGTGGAACAAAAAACACTGCAGCAAAAGTAAGAAAACCATCGAAATAAACACAAACCAACAAATAATCCCCTCAAAAAAAAAAAAAAAACAAACCACTAAAAACACCTCCAAAACACAGGGGGAGGGGCGGGGGGGAGAAAAAAAAAATCCCCGAACAACTCCGGAGGGAGAGAGAAAAAAAGAGAGAAACCTGTGGGGAAAAAAATATTTTAAAGAGTTTGGGTGGGGGGAGGGGAACTGGAAGGGGGAAAACGTGGGTTTATGGGGTGTCTGAGAGTGCTGCCCTGTGTGGTCGTACACAGGTGTAGGTTTAGGTGGCTCAGCAAAGGTGGATTGCCATGTTGGTGTCACTGGTGAGGAAGGCACCATGTTTACGTGATGCCAAGCACCAGCTTTCTGTTTCTTACTGTGTTCTGAACATCGTAATTTGGACGTTCACACTTTGGGAGCTGTTTTGTTGGTCATCAGAGAGTGCTGTTCAGTGAGGCTTTACAGGGAGGGGTTTTACGTGTGTAAGTAAGTGACGATATCCATGTTGTTAGCACTGTTCCAGAGGACTCCCTGTGTAGAATATGTCCAGTTATTTGTTTCTGTTCTAACCCATTAACCTTAGGAGCAGGATCTGGACATTTCCACTTAGGGAGCTTGGCTCTGTGGCACTTGAGAGTGCACTGCGTAGGCAGCACGCAGATGCACTTGTCTGTGGCTAAGCAAGGCTGGATTCCCACGTTGGTGGTTTTAGCTGTTACTCAGTAGCACTTCGGCAGAGGAAGGACTTTCCAGTCTCTCCTGCTCTGCCAGTGAGGAGGGGCACGGGAAGCCAGGAGGAAGCAGAGGCAGGACACCTGGTACCTAAACTGGGGGGAGTCAGCCGGAAGGCGCAGGTCGCCTCTCGGGTCAGGCTGGGTACCGCTGAGCGGGTGCTGAGCAGTTGCGTTGTGCATCACTGCTGGTTCGCGTTTCCCTTTTCCCTGTCTAGTTCTAGAGGAGCAAAGTTTGTTGGAGAGCTGTGATGAGCTGTTGCTAGTGATGAGATTTGAGCTTTGGTCTTGTTGCTGCAGGTTTGTTTTTTAAGTTCTTGTCCTGATTTTGCTCTTGGGGCTGAGGGAGCGGGGAGCGGCCGAGGGGACCGGCGGGGCTGGGGGAGCGGGGAGCCGCTGCGGGCCCGGCGGGCTCTGGCGGTGCTGCGGGTGCGGCTGTGCCGAGGGCGAGGCGGGGCCGGGGCCGGCGGGCAGCGCTGGCTGAAGCCGGTCCCGTGCCGGGCGGCCGCGCGGGCCGGTGTCGCTCCCGCAGGGCGGGCCGACGGGGCCGGGCGTTGCCCGGCGGGCGGTGGAGCGAGAGCGGCCGGTGCGTCCGTTGTCGGGGAGCGCCATGGAGGGGCAGCGGCTGCCCGGCGCTGTGAACCCCAGCCACTTCCCGGCCAAGCTCTGGCAGCTGGTGAACAGCCCGCGCTGCGGCTCCGTGCGCTGGGATGCCCGTGGCGAGGGGCTGCTCATCGACCAGCGGCTCTTCGAGCGAGAGCTGCTGGGCGCGGAGGCGGCCGGCGACGGGGCGGCGCTGGCCGCCGAGTTCTTTAAGACCAAGAACTTCGGCAGCTTCATCCGGCAGCTGAACCTGTACGGGTTCCGCAAGCTGGGGCCGGGACCCGGGCTCGGGCACCTGCAGGACCCGGCGGGGGGCGATTGCGGCAGCGCCCCCGGGGCCCTGCTCCACTTCCACAGCCCCCATTTCCGCCGCGACCGCCCCGACCTCCTCGTGTGTCTCAAGCGGCGGACGAGCGCCAACAAGGCGAAGCTGGCGGCCGCCCTGGAGCTGCCCAGCCGCCCGGCCCAGCTCTCCCAGTGCCTGCCCTCGACGCTCGGCGAGGCTGCCAGACCCGGTGAGCTGGGGTGGCCCCGGGCTGCGGGCCGAGAAGCACTGGGTGCTCTGGGGTTTGGCGATCGGCACCCCCGCACGGAGCAGGGTTGCCTGACCTTGCTGGCAGCTGCTCAGCTCCGCCGGTGCGGGAAAGCCGTTGTTGTTCGTGCAGGGAGATGCGCTGCCAGCAGGCACGGGGAGCGAGGTTTGCGGGTGGTTCCCTCTGCCCCTCGGCTGCAAGACAGCCTCTGTCGGGGCTGCAGTAAGAGCACCCTCACCCTGTCTCTGTGGAGCTGGCACAGCCCTACCAGATGACCGTTACTTCTCCTTGAAGGGTTGCTCCATAAGCTGTCGTTAAATCTGTGTGAAGCGTATGGGTAACCGACCGTATGAGGGCAAGTACCATTCCATGAAACCATAACTGACCGAGAGAGGAAACCAGGGAAGACGAAAGGGAATATCTTGGAAGTAACAAAACGGCAAAGTCTGAGCTGTTTTAGACTCAACTGAACCGGTTGAGCTACCTGGAAAAAAGCTGGCTTTGCTTTTGTTTTCCTTGACAAGCTGAGTGACTTGTGATCAAGTGCTCTCAGAGTCACGTTTAGGATTTGGACGTTGCCCTTGCCTTGGCTGCCTGTGTGCTGTCAGCACTGGAGTTTGGTAGAGCCCTGCTTCACCATTCCCCCTTCATTTTACCTTACTGCCTGATGTTACGCACGGCATTTCCTAAATGGCTTGCGCTGGTTTAGTCAGCTCCTGCCCATTTTGATTTATAATAGCACATTTCTAAGTAGCCATCACTTGCTCCTGAGGGTTTCAGGAGGCTGAATGCTCCAGAGATGACTCTGTGTTGGCACAGCAGTGATGTTTCTGTGTGTTCAGGTGGCAGTGCTACAGCAGTTACTGTATGTTTAGGTGTAAGAATAGAGTCTGTTTCTGGATTAAGAATATTGGAGCAAAGGTGGTCTTCCCAGGGAACCTTGTGGAGCCTTGGCTCCTCATCCTGCCTTTCAGGGCTAGTGAAAACTCCTTCCCTTAGTCCTCGTTTCCCTTTGTTTTGCAGGACTGGTGACTGCAAGGCAGATTCCTCAACCTTGTCGTCCAGACAGCTGCTTTCCCAGCTGCAACAGAGCGGCCTCATGCCAGGACCCCCACGCTTTCCAGCCAACAACTTCCCAGCAGCCTCCGGCCCCGTCCAGACCATGGCAGGGTTCTGTTGGGTCGCTGCCAGGGCACTGGGTTTCCCCAGCTTTCCCAGGCCAGGGGGCTCCCTTTCCAGTCATCCGCAAGTGCTGCACGGAGGTCACATACACTCTGCAGACGGTGTGCTCCCTTCTGCCGCTTCAGCGATGGGCTCCAGCTGGTGCTGCCCTTCCCGAACCCGGCAGCTGCGCGTCTCCAGGGCAGTGCTTGCAAGGCCTGGATCCAACACGTACGGCAAAAGTTCTCCACTTGCTGCTCGAGAAGTTCCTGCAAAGTGGTGCATGAAATGTTTTTCCCCAGTGCTCTGCCACTGCGTGTGTATCTGACGTGTGTGCTTGCAGTGAGATGTGTGTTCCCTGTCCGTTACTTGCTACCAGCCGGTGACAGAATGTGCTTTAGCTGCTCATTTCTTCTGGCTCTGATGAGATGAACTGTATCAGAGACAGAAGAGCTTAGAAATGCCTTCTCTGCAATGAGCAGGGAAGGACAAAAGTGTGTGGGTGAAGCAGGTGTGTGTGGAATCTTGATT